GATCGCTCTAAAGCGATCTTCTCTCGAAATGAAAGCAATGACCCGCTGTGATTTTATGCATATTAGCAGAGAAAGAATTTATTTTCTTGAGCTTTACCTCACCTCAGTAACTGATTGGGCAGTGTTCTGTTCCGCTGTAACTTCGCCCTTTTCTCGGAGCGCACAATCCTGCACACCATCTTATGACCACCATCTTTGAAGGACCTGCAACGCGTCGGGGTGGGCTATACTTTCGTAGCAATCGTATTCGGCTTAGGGAATCGCCTAGGGGGGGGAGGAAGTATTGATGCAGAAAAGCTTTATTAGGGAAGCGAAATCGATTAACTAACTCTCGCGCCTCCCTATGCAAATAGTGAACATTGGAAATCGAACGTAAGGGGTGGCAAGGAAGGTTGGGCTCCCGTGTAGAAGGGTCGTATCTGTGAGGCAGTGGACTGAGGGTCGTCTTCCTTTGTCGTGCAATCTCAGAGCAAGTAGACCAAACAAAACGGGAAGAAGAAGAACGGGGAACTGGTCTGTCTAGCATCCCTCTAAGGTTGCGTTCATACTTTCCAGCAGCAGCCACTAGCGTCTAATAGAGTTCACTAATGTTCCGAAAGTCCGGCAGCATCAACGAATAGAAAAGTATAGATATCAATCTAGCGTCCCGGCGACCATCTGCGTCCACAGCCACAAGCAGCGCTCGAGGGCCTGGAAAGTGTAGGTATCGTTCAAGCGTCAACCAGCGCAAGCCAGCGTGCATCAGCGTTTACCAGCGTTGGGGGAGAAGGGTATGGCGCTATGGGAGGATAGCAGACTGGTAGAGTATGGGAAATAGGAGGCTAGCAGACAGCTGGTAGAGAGTATGGCGCGGTAGGAGGGTACCAGCTGTCTGCGACCTTCCTATCCCGCCATACTCCTCTCGCCCAGACGCTGGTAGACGCTGGTATGCGCTGGCAGACGCTAGATCGATACCTATACATTTCCATTCGCTCACGCGGCGCACGCTCGAAACGCTAGTGGACGCTGGTAGACGCAGGTGTGTGCTGGCGCTAAGTATGAACGAAGCCTAACCTCTCTCGAAGCGCCACCCGTTACTACATTACGCTTAAAATAATGATATTTCTGAGAGGGAGCTGCTTTTAAGGGGGGAGGAGGTGGGAGGGGGGTTGAGGGAGTGCGTCTGCTATAAGGCCCTGTGGTGTGGACTCGGCAACAAGCAGAGAAAATGCGCTAGGACCAGGGCTAGCAAGTGAAATATGAAGGGGGGGGGCATTCATATGTTGACAATTAAGTCAAAGCATTTTGATTCAGAGCTGCATCAGTGAAGACTGGCCGACGTAGTGATGCATGCGTAGGAATGGATTCGCTGGAAATCAACTGGAGTGTTCGACAGTTGAAAACGCTATTCCAGGACAAACGTGCGCCTTCCATAAATACTGATTATACCATTAGTTGAGTACTTGACTGGCTCTATGTAGTATTATTTATGTCGTAATTCTTTTCGACGGGAAACTTAAGTTCCATAGATAGCACCATTAATTTGTTGCACGAATTTGTTCGTTATATCGGTTGCTTTTATCGATTTCATTCAAGCATTGCTTTTTGCAATCATTCCAGTTTGGTATTACTCTAAACTCGTTCTTAGTTACTTGTCTTGAACGCAGTGTTGTCTATTTCTGTCCTGAATGGTCACACTTTTGTGCCTTTAATTGATGTCATTAGAAGCAGTGAGTACCATCACTAGTTCAGTAGGGCCAGGTGCCAAGAATCTAGTTGAAACGGACATCAGACCCCTCCCCTCGAACAGTTAATGAATGGCATGTTTCGCAGCTGCAGCGAGGGGTGCTCTCAGAGCGACCTAGCAAGGACCAAGGCTCCCTAGACCATCTGCCACGACCTTCGCTCCGCCCACAGATGACCACCACGGCTAGTTCTATCTGTTGCTGTGGCGAGAGAGATTTTGTGTTGAAGCAGACTCGTCCCAAAATCAACCAGCAAAAAAATCCTCATTTGCTGCTTTTGTCCGTTCGCGTTTACTGGCCGTGCCATTCAGTACCTCTTAGAATACTAACCAAATTGGAGTATCCACTGCTTTTCAACTGAAACCTATTTAATTTGTTATTAGACACATACATATTACTGCTTCTAGGTGCTTCTTGTTTAAGCCTTGATTGATGTGTGATGACTTGCCTTCATTACAGTGACTATTTTAATCATCAATATTACCGCGTCAGGTATCAGTAGAAAGGATAGAATTCCATAATTCGTAGAACAAACTTCCAAAGACTTTTCGTGCGCAGTTAGCTTCTAGACCGTGGACTTCGTTGATGAATTTTTAAATGGAATTCGAATAAATGTTGATACGATAATTCTCCAGTTTCTCTCTTCTTGCAACCTCGGCATGGCTTTTCGATTGTCTTGTGCTTTACGAGATTGTTAGGTGGCGCCTATATTGAAAATGGCCTAACGTTCCGACTTAATCGTCGTCTCCAGAGGCTAATAGTTCTACCGTGTAACAGAACCATTGGCGCCCTGGAGACGA